TTCTTTTCTTCTAATTACATAAAATTGATATTTTTATGTAGTTATTTATTTGTCATATGTTCTGGTATATCGATTTCTTTTTTATCAAAATTTTCGCTTCGTTTTATATAATGCACAGAAAGAAAGAGGAACACCTAACTGGAGAAAGGTGCGGTTAAGGCTGTTTAAGATCTTTATGACGTTGTGCACCATGACATCCTTTCTATGGACCTGAGGTCAGTCAAACATGTGTTATATGCGTATGAGTAGAGTTTCCATTGCTTGATTCTCCTCTGCTTATATTACTTTATTGACTGCCAATTTTAGGGGAAATTATAAGACATGGAAATTGTTGCCAAATGCGAGGACATAAGGTTGTCTATTTGCCAAGTTACGTTGAAGTGGCACAAGGACCCTAAGTTGGTATGTTTGAGTAGATTACCTGATCTCCTTAGTTGGGTTTAGGTTTAATGCTCAGTGGTATGTTGTGCTTTTGCTTCTTTTTAATTATCGAGGATATGCAAAGATCGCAAGTGAAAAGATTGTATTTGCTGTGTTGATGCATTGTTGAGCGAGAGACGCAAAAGGAAGGACGTCTTCAATCTCAAGATCTGTGAGCTTTCACTTCTTAATTTTATTATTATTAATTTTGTTTGCTCTTTGATATTTGAATGTATGAGTTTTTTAATGTTATTGGGATTTACCTGAGATGCCTTATGGTTATATTTTTAGATTATGAAATTTAATGTCAATTGATTTTCTAGGAAAAATGAGAGACTGTGAGTGAGTATGTTAAAAGGCTGAAACATTGCATAAAGTGATTCCAAGAACTTGAGGAAAGCTACTTATTAGAGGGTGAGAAGTTAGAGAATGATTCTAGGGTTATTGAATTCAGAATTTTGATTTAGAGTTCTTTTTTTGGTTTTTGATTATATTGGAGTTGAATTCCGTTTTTTGTTTGGGCGTTCAATGGCATGCATGCTTAATTTCCTTGATTGGTAAATATCTTTTGTATTCCTACATATTATCCTTCTTAGCTAGCATTCTTGATTGTATTATTTTATTATTATTATTATTATTTTTTGTTAGTTTAATGTGCTTCTGGTGATTATTACATGCTTTTAACTGTTTAACTTTGGGTTTGAATCTATAAACCCTTAGCTGGTTACTTTGGGTTTGGTTTAAGAGTATCATTATATGGTTAAACATTTGACAACTTTAATGTTTACTTGATTGAAAGATATGCAATATGAAAGTTTGTATTTTTACAATGTTTCATCGATACAGATAATGACACACCCCAACCGAAATCAAAGCGTGCTGGCGGATGACGTTGCCATGCACGTCTTGATTTCGGTCGGAGTGTGTCAGATAATGCAAGAGTGGAAGGGATTGGGAGACAAATGAGTGTGCAACTGAGGAGGAGGAAGATGAAGGAAGCAGTAAAATTCAGTTGGGTACTAAATGAACTCTTAAAGAATAGATGGTAGAGTGAAAGTTGAGATATCACAAGTTTGGATGAATTGAATCCTCCGGTTTTTTAATATAGATCAGTAATTTTTCAAAGTTGAAACCCACTTACTTTCAATCTTTTGGAACAAATTCACTTTGTAAAGTAACAAAACAATGATATTCCTAAAGGAAATAAGATTGCTTGCTTTGCTGAGGTAGTTCTGTTTAGATTAATCAATGCTATAGTGCATTTTGAAACCTAAGTTATGGATCTTTTAGTAACATATCTAGAAACTTAGAGATACATTTATTAGCTCACATTTATATACTGCTGGAAAGTTAGAGATATGTTGATGATACTAGATTTAACTTGGTAGTTTTTCAAACATAATTACCTATACAATTTTTAATCCCGCAGCAGTATACGGGCATCACTTTCTAGTAAGAACTATTTTCCAACAATTGAATGGTTGATGATTATAAATTCCGAGAGCTGATGGGACAATTTTTTCGGTTAAGTGGTACAAAAAAAAAATGTAGGATGTCATGCAAAGGACTTTAGGTATCATTTGGTATGCAAACGGGACGGGACGGAACGGAATGGGATAGGACGGGACCGGACAGGACGGAACGAAACGGAACGGAGCGGGAGCAAAGATGCCCTCAAATGGAAACAAGGAGGAAGAAGAAGGAGACGGAGAGGTTATAATTTTGTGTTCCACGGATGTGGAACGAGTCGTTCCAGGGGATGAGGTGAAACGAAAATTCACCCAAAACTCGTCCCGTGAAACAGCTCGTTCCACCCGTTTTAAGCGCACCAAACGTGGGACGGAATGCCTTGTCCCACTCTGTTCCTTCCCGTTCCACGTAGCAAACGGTACCTTATGGAACTCATGAGCCCCAAATCTATGAATTGAACAAGAAGCCATTCACGATGAGACAAGATGGCAAGTCGGTCTGCATATATCCCTCAAAATTTCTAACTCTGAGACTGCTTTATGATTGTTTAAACTATTAGTCAATTAATGCTTCCCTTCCTAGAGGTGGAATTCAAACTCTCTAACAAAAGGCTTATAGATCATCAAGTGGTAAAAACGTTAACATATTTTAGATGACTAATATGCAGTGAATCAATTAAAAACACTAATAAAACTTGTATAAAAAGTGGAAAAAAAAAATATTGACATGGTATACGTAATATAAATTGTAATAATTTAGACAAAGATTTTTGCATTATGATGTCATCTAAATCTTTAGAGATTGGGTGACTACCGCATAGATACAGCTGGCTTTTGCAATTAGCAAATCCTAATTAATAATTGATGATACGTGAAGTGTAGCAGGTAGCATCAATCTCATTGTCAATTTATTTATTTATTAGGGTTTTGTTGTAGTCTAATTTGTTAGATTTTTTGAATACATCAATGTCTTTTACATTAAAGGGAGGAAGAGTTTAGTTAAACCACACAATGGACAACCTACTTTAGTATCAAATTCCCCATCCACTAGATTCAAATATAAGACCTCTCACTTTTAAGTGAACCAAAATATCATCAGATCGTAGTACTAAATGACTATTTATTACATAGGTTAAAAATATATTTGATTAATTTCTATGTGGGTTGGGTTTATCTGTGCTTTTGGTTGGCACTGGGGCTGCGTAAGCATATATTGAATGCATGCATGACTATGGATTGTGATGTTTCAGAGCTACTTGGATCCCATCCGGATCCACTTCTTAGTATTTATCGTGTATCGTGCAATTAAAAATCATTTAAATTTTTTTATTTAAAATTAAACACAAATAATATTTAGTAAAAATTAATCACACGATATATAATGAGATCCCTACAAAATGAATCCAAAGAGGATCCCTTTCCGTTTCAGAGAGTGAATTTTTTGCTTCCACAAACCGTTAGTTTGGTGGGTTAGATGCAAAAACGAGCACGTGTTCACACTTACTCCACGCAGGTGTTCAAATTCTCACAGTATAATTTGTCGCCAAATTCAATGCCTATGTTTTTTACACATGCCACATCATCTTTGACATTTCAATTCGAGAAAAATTTTGGTTGCCTTCTTCCAACATTTTTTATGAAATGAACTATTTGACATCTGTTTTGGGAGAGCATTTAAAGAACATGAATATTATTGTTGCAGTGGAGAAATTTTTAGGTGTGCCGGGAACACCATGCCACGTGGTGTTCCCTCACACATAAAAATTTGACATTTTGAATATACTTCCATTTTTTATTTCAATAAATAAATAAAACTAAATTTTTATGTGTGAGGGAACACCACGTGGCATGGTGTTCCCGGCACACCTAAAAATTTCTCGTTGCAGTGGCGTTGTGTGCTAATAAAAAAACGTATAAATTTTTTTGTCCACATATTATTTGTTATTGGCATAAAATAGTGGCAGTGTGGCCATATTATATAATTATTATGCTCTTCCTACAATGAGAGTTTGTAATTTTACGCATGTCAGATTATTTTATTTTATTTCTGTCCATACATAATGGACCCTATTCCTCAAGCTAGTCATTGGATACGAGGAACTTTAATGAAAAACTTCCGGGTACTGTTTATTTTAACGAAAAATCATATTTTTACACTAAAAAGTCAATCATGGTACTATTCATTTTATCCTTTATTTTGTCTTTATCGTTAAAACTCAAAGTTTTCAAGTCATTTTTCATTAGTTTTCCTTTAAATTTATCTATTTGTCTTGGTATTATTTGATTTTTTCCCTGTATCTCACCTCAATTTTAATTAAGATACTGTTATCCAAGAGAAGGATTTTAGATTCACGTAAAGCTCCATATCAATAACATAATACGTTTAAATTTCTCTTCATATATTATTGACACGAAATAATACACCGATGGTGTATTGGTGTGCATCGGTATGGTAAAAATTGTTCTCATTAATTCACACCGACGTAACCACATGAAACTGCTCAGATGTGGTTTGGTCTTTTGAGTTGATTTCTTTATTGCAAGGCTCAGTAAAACAAAACCCACGTGCATTTTGCTCGTTCCAAGTATATTTTAAATAAAACTATAGGAGCTCGTCCGTCTCTAGATCATCAAATCTCTATCTTTCATTTCTTTAAATTTTAGGAACGCATTGACTTCTTTCTTGACTTCTAATTACGTTTACACTCAGCCGTGTTTCACGTGTGCCAATTTTTTAGCATAAGATGGCCGTCAACAATTGATACAATGATACAAGAAATTATTACACGAACTCAAATACGTAAAAAATATTATTATGTATACATTATATGAGATTAAATACTGTAAACCGTTGATACAATAATCTTAAAAACTAAGCAAAAGTATAAAAAAAAATGCCTACGCATTATGCATGAGTGATGTGATCAGAGAGACTAAACAACCACATCAACCTTGAGGGGATGCATCGGCACTACAATCATGCATCATAATTCACACGCAATACGTTTTGAAAAAAGGGAAAAGACAACACAAAAGATGCCAAACAAACCGGTGAAAAACGAGAATATTAAAAGACTGTCTGTCTAACTTCATATCGACAATTAGTCCACTAATCAAAATATCAAATATATAATTAAACCCCCAAAGCTTACACCCTTTACATTCCTACAAGGCCACAAGTTTACAAACCCTCTCTCTCTCTCTCTCTGCCATATTCTAAAAGCTCTGGTTTTTGTTCTGGAAATTAATCGATTAAGAGATGGGGAGTTATAGGATGTGCATGTGCTTCACTAGGAAGTTCAGGGTGAAGGAGGAAGAGCCACCGCGGGACGTGAAGGAAGCATTCGAAAAGTACGCTGAGGGGGGGACCCAAATGACAGCGGAGCAGCTGCGCCGCTTCTTGGCCGAGCTCCAGGGGGAGAAAGATGGCGGCGGCGCGTCGGTATCAGACGACGCGGAGCGGATCGTGGAGAAGGTGCTGCAGAAGAGGCACCACATTGCCAAGTTGATCACAAAGCGCACTCTGTCCCTTGAAGACTTCCACCATTACTTGTTCTCTCCCGATCTCAATCCCCCTATTCGAGATCAGGTAATCTTTTTTAATTTTCTCCTTGGTTTTCTGGGTTTTGTTTGTTTCCCGAGAAAGTGTAGGAAAGTACAAGATTCTTCATGTTTAGTTGAAACTCTGTTAGCTTGTTTAATGAGTTTTTTAGCAGTTTTTCTTTTTAACTTTTGTGTGAAAGAATATTTGTCCCCAGTCGTTCAAATCACAGTTTGATCGGCGTAGGAAACTACAAGATATTGTACACTTTTAGTAAAAACTATGTTAGCTAGCTTGATATTAAAATTTAACATTTTATGAGTTTTGAGTTGAAAAATTAATTATGACTAATAATGAACCATTCTAATCACATTTGGACACGCGACCAATATTTTTATTTCCTCTTTTAACTAGTCATTTCGTCATATGATCTGCAAATAAGAAAAAGTGCTACATGTAACGTGTCGAAGAATATTGTTTTGAGTGCTACATTGTTAGTCTAGCATGGCAACAAAGACGGACATATATAGCTCATAATCTACCAATCTTAATCATCATATCTAGTATCTGGCCTTACTTAAATTGATTTGCGAATTTGATGTTCTATCTTCTTGATGAAGTCTGCATCCTTTTTTTTCTTTCTTTTCTATCAGAATGATGTCTGCATCGTAGGAATTTAAAGAATTTTTAATTTACTAAATATGGCACTTGGCAAATGATGTTCAATAAATTTTATGATTAAGAGAGTTCCTAATAATTTTATTGTTTGGGTATTTTGTTTCAGGTTCACCAGGACATGACAGCTCCGTTGTCCCATTACTACATATACACCGGCCATAATTCGTACCTGACTGGAAATCAGCTAAGTAGTGACTGCAGCGACGTTCCGATCATAAAGGCACTCAAAAGAGGTGTGAGAGTGGTGGAGCTTGATATTTGGCCAAATTCCACAAAGGACAATGTGCATGTTCTCCACGGAAGGTAATTAATCTCCAATTACGTCCAACCTAGCTCCAATTTTTTGAAATTTAGGCATGTAATTATCCTTCGAATTTCTACAATCATCACGAGCGAGCATCACATGATTAGAGATGAAAACACAAGGTTATATATCCTCGACTTTACCTACAGATTTCTCATATTTTAGGTCAGTTTTTTTCAGTAGATATTTCTATAAACTGAGTTGTTATTGGCACTCCAGATATGTCGCTATGTGTACAAAAATTTTGGTCTGTTTTTCTAAATTTGAAGTGCATGAAGACTTTTTTAGAGCACCAATAACAATCCCGCCATATGCTCCAAGTCATGAGAGAGATATTCAAAGTGTGTATTTGTGAATGTAGGACCTTGACAACCCCTGTGGAACTTATAAAATGCTTGAAATCAATTAAAGAGCATGCCTTTTCTGAATCTCCATACCCCGTCATCATAACTCTTGAAGACCACCTTACGGCTGATCTCCAAGCTAAAGTAGCACAGGTGAACTTCTTAATCTTGTAATAGTTTTAATCAAGTTCTTCACACAACTACTACTGAAAATTTTCAATTTGTCTTGTATTTTCCAGATGCTCATTCAAACATTTGGTGAAATGTTGTTTTACCCTGAAACCTGTTGTTTGAAAGAGTTACCTTCGCCCGAAGAACTTAAATATCGAATTATTATATCTACAAAACCTCCTGAGGAGTACCTTAAGGATAAAACTTCCAATGAAAATAGACTTGACTCACATAAAAGTGAGGAAGATTTATGGGGGAAGGAACCAACAGAGCTTACCCATGAACGGGAAGATGATGATACGGTGTGTTTGCGAAATTATTTACCACATCCTTAACCTCCATTATGCTCTCTGCCTCTTAGGTGATTAATTTTTGGGTTGCAGAGTGACAGTGATACAAGTGAGGACAACAATAATATCAATCATGGATCGTTCTCCTCAGTAGAACACGATTACAAATGTCTAATTGCAATCCATGCTGGAAAACCGAAGGGTGGTTTAAAGGACGCGCTAAAAGTTGAACTCGAGAAAGTCAGGCGGCTTAGCTTGAGTGAACAAGCACTCGAGAAGGCTGCTGAATCTCATGGAACAGATATTGTTAGGTACTCTTTTTTACCTCTAGCACAATGAAATGCGCAAAGATTCTCTCCTATTATGAATGCAGTCAGTATTGACATCTATACTTCAAAAACATTTTCATAGATTTACACAAAAGAACATTTTAAGGGTGTATCCAAAAGGTACTCGGTTCAACTCCTCGAACTACAAGCCGCTTGTTGGTTGGATGCATGGTGCTCAAATGGTTGCGTTCAATATGCAGGTTGTTTAAAGTTCTTGCATTCAGTCCAAGAATAAGGATTGCTTATCTTCTTTTTTGTTAGTTTTATTTTCTCCAACGATCACGCGGATATAACATTTCTCTGGTTTAATGGCAGGGATATGGTAGATCTCTTTGGCTGATGCATGGGATGTTTAGAGCCAATGGGGGTTGCGGTTATGTTAAAAAGCCTGATTTTATTATGAAAGCGGATTCCGATTATCAGGTTTTCGATCCTAAAGCAAAACTGCCAGTAAAGAAGACTTTAAAGGTAAGCACATTTTCCATTCCTTTTCTCTGTATATGAAGTTGGAAAGAAGGGGATTTCCAAATCATAGCTACTTTTATCTCTCTCTCATTCCCCGGTTGAAGGTCCCCATATATATATGTCTAGCTCTGTCACTGCGTATGTGACTAAAGAATGTCGTTATACTAATTGTGTTTCGTGGCAGGTGAAAGTTTATATGGGAGATGGATGGCATTTGGATTTCAAACAAACACACTTTGATTTATACTCTCCACCAGATTTCTATACTAGGGTAAGATGGTCAATTAATCAAATGATAAACCAATTAATTTGCAACTCTACTCAAAACCAATTAATGTATGACTTCATTGCTTGATTAACAATAATGTGGTGATGTATGCACTTGTTAGTGCTTCTATTTTAACAGTTAATCTTATGGCAGGTTGGCATAGCAGGAGTGCCGGCTGATGAAATAATGAAGAAAACAAAGAAAAAAGAGGATGATTGGACACCTGTATGGGAGGAAGAGTTTACATTTCCATTGACAGTTCCCGAGTTGGCTTTGCTTAGAGTTGAGGTACATGAGTATGACATGTCTGAGAAGGATGATTTTGGTGGCCAAACTTGTTTGCCAGTCTCCGAATTGAGACAAGGGATTCGTGCAGTCCCTCTCTTTGATCGCAAAGGAGTAAAATACAATTCAGTAAGGCTTCTAATGCGATTTGAGTTCGTCTGAGCATAATTTGGTTCTGCTCATCGGAGTTTTATTTCGTTGCCCACTGCAGTGCTGCTATAATTTTTGTTTATTTCGCTCACTGTAAAAGAACTATTGATATATTCAAACTTCCACTTACATGCTCTCTTTCTCTCTAGAAGTAGATAATCACAGTGTCCTTTTGTTTTTCCCTATATCTTTTTCTCAATTATGTTTCAAGCTGCAGATCGATATGGCTAAATTCAGTCTTTTTTCTTGGGCCACAGAACCAAATGCTGTTTGAAACTTTTTCTTTTCGGAACCATATAAAATGTACATGCCTTGCGTATCACTCCTCGAAATGGCAATATGCAAAAAACCGTTTTCATAATTACAGGTCTCCCCTATGGAATCACGTATCGCCATCTAAGGAACATAGTAGTTGTCCGAATAGGGGGATAGAAAGTATAAAGATCTTGTTAGCCAAGTTGCACTGACGAGAGAGAATGTACATGTGAGAAAGGCAGGTATAAAGAAGCATCTCTTTATTTGTGGCCAAGAAAAAGTTTGATTGAGATATTGGAATTGTCATATAACAGCTTGTACCTGAATTTTACAGAAAGAGTAGGGAATGTGGAGTGTTGGGAATTAAAGTTTTCAAGAGCACAAATTCTGACTTCGCTGCAAAGCCAGCCCTAAGAATTTCAAGCCAAATATGTTCTTTTCAGGAGATTCTAAACATTTGTTAGCCGTTGATGTATGCAAGTTCCTGTGTAGGCCACTCGTACATAAAAGCCAGGATGAATACGTAGGTGACTCTCAAAAACAAAACTTAATTCATTTCTTCCTTTCTCTGTTCAGATAAAATAAACTGGAGAAAGCAGTTTCAAAAATGTCTAATAAGCAGTCTTTCAATGTCTGCTTTTGCTTCCAGAGAAAATTTAGGCTCCGGACGGCAGAGCCTCCTGAAGATATTAAGAACCTTTTTGAAAAATTCGCAGAAAGTGGCACCATGACCATCGATGAGCTGCAGTGTTTTCTGATTGAGTTTCAAGGAGAATCCAGTGCCACCAAGGAGGATGCTCAGACCATTTTCAATAGTCTCAAGCATCTCAACATCTTTCAACGAAAGGGTCTCCACCTTGATGCCTTCTTTCGATATCTCCTCGGTAACCTTAATCCTCCTCTCTATTCAAAGGTAATCTCATCAAACTTTTTATTCTCTGGTTCGACTCACATCGACGGAGGGCTGAAGGTTATTTCATTTTTTAGAAATAATAGCACATCTAAACTTTCTAAAAAAATATTCGCAGCACTATAGCATATTAACGTGACAAAATGATGCTTAATGTAATGAAATTTGAGGATAAATGTATTTGGATTCAGGTGCACCATGACATGAATTCTCCATTGGCTCATTATTTCCTATTTACCGGCCACAACTCTTACTTAACAGGAAATCAACTCAGCAGTAACAGTAGTGTACATCCGATAATTAAAGCGCTGCTTCAAGGTGTTAGAGTTATTGAATTAGACTTGTGGCCGGGTTCTAAGAAAAATACTGTGGAGGTTCGTCATGGAGGGTATGAGTTTAATCTTCGGTTGTTCTCTTTCTAATTATTTGTCCTAACGGATTAACAATATTCTTGTAATAGAATTTGATCTCTTCAAACCTTTAGGACGCTTACAAGTCCGGTGGACCTCATCAAATGTTTGCGTGCGATCAAGGACAACGCTTTTGTTGCTTCTGAGTACCCTGTTATCATAACATTTGAAGACCACCTACCTTCAAATCTTCAAGCCAAAGTGGCAAAGGTGAATAGAATGTTCTACCTTAGGGTTTCCAATTTTATAATTTTCAACGATTTTTTGTGACTTCAAATTTTTTTTAAAATGTGATTGCAGATGGTCACTGGGACATTCGGTGACATGCTGTACTCTCCTCATTCAGAATTCTTAATGGAATTCCCTTCACCGGAATCATTGAAGAGGAGGATTTTGATTTCGACCAAGCCACCGGAGTATCATGAATCACAGAGACGGAGAGATGAATCTGGATCCACAAATCATGTGAAATAGTCTACATTGTGCTAATAAGCCTAACATATATATATGCATAAGGCATCAGAAATCACGTTACCTTTTCTAATGTATCATTACACAATTGATAGCAGGAAAGGGAACAAGATGATGAAGATGAAGAGGAGGAGGATGCTACTCCGGAGTATAAACAGTTGATTGCGATTCACGCAGGGAAGCCGAAAGGTGGATTAGATATATGGCATATCGATCCAATTAAAGTCAGACGTCTTAGCTTGAGCGAGCAACAACTCGAAAATGAAACAAAAACTCGTGGATCCGACATTGTCAGGTGATGTTATGCATAAGAAGTTCTGGTTTTATGGTGAAGGTTTTTTTTTTTTTTTTCACCATCTAAACGATCGAATGTGCTTTAATCTTTCTCTAGGTTTACTCAGAGGAATTTGTTGAGGGTTTATCCAAAGGGTACACGTTTGGACTCATCAAATTATAATCCTATGCTTGGATGGAGTCATGGAGCTCAAATGGTGGCATTCAATATGCAAGTTAGATTTCTTTCGAAAACTGTAGTTTGCTTTTAGATAATCGGTTTCTACTTTTTGGACATCTATGAACATGTAGTTAAGAACTTACTAGGAAAGGAAAATTTTAGCACGGCCCCTTGGACTGGTACATTTCATCTGATTTGCCCATTTGATTTCAAATTGGTGGTTTTGAGCCCCCCCCAATCATTTAGAACGTGACAATTTGGCACCTACCGTCAAATCTGTCAATTTTTTTCCGTCAAATTGAGAATTATTTTTATCCATTCAAGGGAAGCAAAACTAAAATAAAAGTGATAAATTTGACTATTGGAGTGTAAATTGACACGTTTTAAAAGATTAAGGGGCTATATAGAAAGTTGAGTGAATTAACGAGGAACTGCTAAATTTTTCATCTTTCTACTCACCCTAATTCCCTGCTTATATATTACAACTGTGTATTTCTCAAAGGGATATGGAAGGTACCTTTGGATTATGGAAGGAATGTTCAGAGCAAATGGAGGTTGTGGCTATGTGAAAAAACCTGATTTTTTGCTGGATGTTTGCCCAAATAATGAGGTTTTTGACCCTGATGAACCTTGTTACCAGTGAGAACAACTTTGAAGGTTGGTTGAATGCATCTGATCAAGCTTGTTAATCTTGTTAATCATGTCAATTACTCTTCCTCCATAACATTTTCGTTGACAAGCAGGTAAAAGTATACATGGGTGAAGGATGGCATTCAGACTTCCACCATACACACTTCGATCTGTATTCTCCACCGGACTTCTTCGTGAGGGTATGACAACAAAATGTTCATTCACATTTACATCCCCATGCATCCTTTATTTAGCGAGAAATTATTAATTTCCAAACAGTTTTGGATGTTATGTTGTTAGATTGACAAACTAATTCAATATATAGGGTTCTAATTTGAGTAGCCAGTTTGAAAAAAATGTCCGACAAATAAAATATTAACAAATAACTAGTAAATGCTATAAACCAATAATTCCAAGAAAGAGTGTGCATACATTTTTATCTTAACTTTTCATTACCCAACTGTGACACATAACATGTCAATTGTGTACTAGTTATATATCAATGACATTGAACTTTAATACATAACTTAGCTAGTGTCTGCTATAAATGCCATCTTTCGTTCTCATGCATCAACTTTTATTTTTATTTTTTATTTTTTATTTTCAACTGACGTGATACATAACATTAGGGGTGCAACTCGGGTAGGTTGGGCAGGTTAGAAGGTCAACCCAATCCTAATCCAACTTTTACAACTTGGGCTCGGGTTCGGGTTGGGTTTCATTCAGGTTATTTGGGCTCGAGTTTAATTGGGCTAGGATTTATCTGGGTTGGGTTCGGATTACCCAACTTTTTTAAATTTAATTTTGTGACAACTTAGTTTCCAAGAATTTCTAAAAAAATTAAGCCAAGTAGCTTCAAAGCTAGCTAACTTTAATTTTATAAATCAATCTACTATAAAGCTTTAGGATGTAGAGACTACGAATATGGGTTGACTAATCAAAGCCTCTTATTTCCTAAAAGCTTAAGTAATTATAAAGGGTAATTTATTATAAAAAAAATATATTATAAAGGGCATTGGTTTTTGGACTTGGCTTGGTTTTTGGACTTAGCTCACTTGGGTGTAGTAAGAGCATTAATTGATATGGGTTACAATCTGGTTAGATTGAGTTTGGTTAATTGAGTTGGGTTGGGTTGGGGATGGACGGGCAAATGATCAATCTAACTCAACTCAATCAATGAACGGATTGAAATTAGGTTGGGTTTGGATGGATTATAACTAAAAAAAAAGCCCACTTATTCAAGTTTAAAGTCAGGTTGAACATGAACAGATTCAGATTGCCCAACTCAAGTTGCACCTCTGCATAACATAACACTAACTTATACAAATAAATGAGATTCAAAATGAATTTCAATATAAACAAATTAAATATTATCGCATCAAGTGCAATTTGAAAAAATTGAGATAACAGTTCGCTGCCGCCTGTAGTATATAAAAACTGCAAAATTGCAGTGCAGTGAAATGTGGTAATGATTAATTGGGTTTGTTTGTATAGGTTGGAATTGCTGGAGTCCCAAGGGACACAAAAATGATGGAAACCGAACCAATAGAGGACCAATGGGTACCAGTCTGGAACAAGGAGTTCACCTTCCCATTGACGGTTCCAGACCTGGCTGTGCTTAGAGTTGAAGTCAAAGAGTATGACACTTCTGGGAATCATGACTTTGGTGGCCAAACATGTCTGCCAATCCGAGAGCTCAGAACTGGGATCCGAGCTGTTCCTCTGCACAACAAAAGAGGTCAAAAGTATAAATCTGTGAGGCTTCTGATGAGATTTGAATTTGACAATGAGGAGTAAATTAAGTGTGCTTACTCATAATATGCTGTATATTCGATGTTAAATATTACGCACAGTAAACTTGCTGCTGCTATAAAAATATATGTCGTTGTATCCGAAATTCTGTGTTTGACTATATCCTATTTCTACCCCCAATGTTGAATTCTAATGCATAAGAAATAGAGCATGCAACGAAATACAGAGCTTGTAACCCATGTAGCATATTCA